TGTCCAATCTCCATGATATGATGGCACCTAGGCAACACATCATGAGCATGATCGACCCTAGCCTGCTCCTCCTCTATAATCTCCTGATGAGCTAGCCTAGGTGGGTTTTCTAGAGCATCTTGTATCATATATGGATGGGACACCATGAAAAACCATTGGATGTAACCTTTCAAGTAGCTTCAGTCGTTCGGTGCTAAGGTACTCTGGGTCTCATCTGGCACTAGATGATTAACATAATTATCAAACAATACATCCATATCCATTTGTTTCACCATGGGAGGAGAAGACTCAGAAGGATGCTTAGGAATATACTACATATACCCGAATTGACGCATGACGCGCTCAAGTAGATATGCAACCTTCTTGCGTGACCCGCATGCCAACCATTTCGAGTACAACACAATGTTATCTATGGGAATTGTCTCACGGTGATCTATGTATGTAAGGAAGTGTAAATACTCAAAGACCAAGCGGTCTATACACACTCTAAATGGCTCTGTCGCCTGGTTCCCTCGGAGCGGGTTGAATGTAGAAGCACACGGCTTATCTTCAGTATACGTAGGATCAAGTGATCAATGGAATATGCGAGGGAAGTGCTGGAGGATTCAGGCCTGATAAAACAAGAATCATTAGTTAGTAACGACATTGAGATAATTTACAATATAAGACCAAGAAATGTTACTGTCATGAGTGTGATGTTGTTGGTCGTCTGCTTCATCTTCCACTTAATGCCTTTTGACAACTTATGATACAAGTACACCAAATAAGCGCCCCCCAGTTCCACTCATGAAACCGCTCAAAGTCATTAAAGTAACGCAGGTACATGACATCAGTGTAGGTCGCACTCGTGCCCAAAAAAATGGTAGTGCCAACTAGATACATCAGGTATGCTCTTATAGCACATGATCTGTGATGGGCTACATACTCGGGATCACCATCAGTCTGTTGTGCATGAAGTAGCTCATCCATGAACACCCTTTACAAATAGTTAAATCTGAAATGAGCACCATGGGTGAAGTCCATCTCCTCTATAGCAGATCTCTGGGGTAACTCCTATGTACTCAATCAACAAATCCATACCCTCCTATTTGACTCACCTCTCATGGTCTAAAACCCTTCCTCTAATCGGAAGATGCAGCAAACACGTAACATCGTCTAGTGTGATCGTCATCTCACCATGTGGTAGATGGGATGATGATGTTTCATGATGCCATCTCTTAACAAAATCATTAATCATACCATGATTAACGATAGTATATCCACAGAGGATCAAATCTTTCAATCCTGAAAGCAGCAAGAGCTTCTGAAATCAAGGCTCAGGGAGAGCTACCGGGCGAGTGATTTTCCGCACATGATTAATGATCTTTAGTGGATCACGTTCCTGCATACATGATTTAACAAAATTGATTTAACCAAACAAAACTTAATAATAAGATAAACATTAAAAAATTAATAGTTAAAGGAAATATTTACCTATTTATCCTAAATATGTATGGCAACATGACTCGGGTATAGAGGCATCAGTGATAAATCAGAAGGCCCTCCTCCAAAACCCTAAGGTTCTGCAGGTGCAACCTCATCTTCCTAGGCCTCAGGTACAACCTGTGACTGAGACTAGGATACAGGTTGAGGTTGGGACTGAGGCTGGGATGCATCAGGCATCGACTGTGTGGCCTCTGGTGTCGGATGGGAGTGTGATGTCTCTTCTGCCTCAAATATCATAGGTGAAGCAGATTGTCTACGGGAAGACGAAGGCGGAGAGAGATGACCTGGAGAATCTCGTCTGTTGCGGTAGGACGATGAAGTAGGCAGAGAAACGTGAGCACCGAAGCCTGTAGCTGCATCCGCCACAACCTGTCCAGAGGCAGAAGGAGCCTGGGAAGCCTGACTCCTTTCCCTTTAAACTGAAGCATGTTGTGCAAGCCTGTTGTGTCTCAATCTAGATAGTCTTTCATCCATAACTCTTGTAGAAGTATGAAATAAAGGTTACCAAAAAAAGTCTTGTTAAATATGAGAAAAATGCATACAGCCTAAAACCAGAGATGCATTTCCGATTTCATATGTAAACGTTGAACAAAATCGGAAATGTATCTTCGGTACGACCTACAACTTTTCTGCTTCATAAATGACAAAGTTGAGCTACTAAGACCTAAAAAAACTATCATTACTCGTAAAAATAACCATACTAAAATGTTTATTCCTACTTCTAAGCATGCAAACACTAAAAATAATTATATTATCTAACCTAAAACACAATATCTAGGTGAAATTACATTAACTCAAAAAATCTCAAAAATAACTTACAATTTATCATTTTTGTTAGTTGATGATGCTTGAACAATGATGTTTGTATGTTGCTTATCGATTTCTGATGAGATTTTCGCACAATGAGATAATTTCACACAATAGGGGTTTGAGAGAGTTTTGTGTTTTATGTTTGTGTTTGAGTTTAAGTGAGTTACTAAAATGAGAAAGGGGAAGAGACATTGCGCATATTTATGTTAAAACGAACCAGAAAGACACTTTCGATACCTTCCGTAAGTGTATTTCCAGTTTATTTCTGTGTGACATCTGAGAATTATTAGTCTAAACTATTGTCTATAGTTGGGGTGCTTCCGGAAATACAACTACGGATCCTCCGTAAATGCTTTTCTGGTTAGTTCTCGGCTATTTTATATGGTCTTGCCCATCAAAGACCTTATTTAGGGTGCTTCCGGAAATACATTTCCGGTAACTGGAGGATAATTAAATATATTTGCGTGGTGCGCTAGAAAAGTTTAGGGTGTGTTAAGAAAAAAAAAATTTGCTCTCTTGTTGTTTCTGCAATATGGCCAACAAACCAAACAACCACAAATATTGATGGAATGGTATAAAATTTGATAGAATAAAAGAATTTGTCTTATTCCATCCTAAAACTTTTAAATGATTAAACAATTTTTTTATTATATTATACTTCATTTTGCTTTGTTCATTTTATAATATCTGTTCATTTTATAATATCCAACATAACGTAAAATTATGTTTGGATTGATGGAAATGAACATAACAAAGTGGAATGGAATATGATGAAATGAAGTAGAGCGATGCGGAACATAGATTTCATTCTATTGTTTATGTAATTTTTTTTTAATTTGACAGAACTTAATTCATTCTATTGCATACACTCCAAATCAGATAGATTGAAAATTAAAAGATTTGAGGGCATATGATGAAATGCATTCAATCGTGTTTTGTTCTATTTCATCCTCTTTTTACCAATCCAAACAATGGAACATAGCATTATCCGTTCCATTCTGCTTCATTCTGACATGTTTCATCTTCATTAATTAATTAAACAGTACATGGACGAAATTCATAAGTTGTCCTTGTTAGAGGGAAGAAACCCAAAAATAATCAGAATCATTACAATTACAATTAACACCATTTCTGGTAAGTAATGAATAAACTCCATGAAACAACCAACAAAAACTTAAGTATGTTGGCTTTTTCCTTTCGTTTTCCACATTCATCTCCATCTTCTCTTTTTTCCTAGAGTCAAGGTCTTTGATAATGCAACCTAAATCCTTCACAACCCGCGAGCAATTACAATCGCTTGAATTTTTGGATTCACTTGACATGTTCCTTTCAAGTTCATCATCCCACATGAACAACTTGCAACTTAACAATGCATACGAATGTTGGACTACGAACAAAATCAGATAAATAATAAAACATTAACAAATGAACAATGAACATTGAGCATTACCCTGTAATTTCCACATTTCCAATATCTCCTTTTAAGATTTTCATGGGAATTTGATATGTACACCCTCATGGATCTATTGCAACCACATACTGAGATTTGAAACGGATTAGAGTTTTCAACTAAAGACGTATCTATGCCTCATTGTGCAGAGGATGAAGAAGACAACTTTGAAATACAATTTTCTGCAATTTTAGATTTAGTCCTCCATTTTAAAACTATGAAACAAGTATTTCCACGTTATTATTAGAGTACGAGAAGAGGAAAATATAAAATTAATTTCACATCATAATCGTTTGCCCCATCATCTCTTTTTTAACGGAAGTTTAACATCAGAGATTAATGCCAAAAGAAAATCGACAGTTAGAGACTCTGTCCAAAAAAAAATTAGGGACAAAAATAAAAGACACGTCAACTTATAGGCATCAAAATTTTTTTTAAGTTTTTTCTTTTTATATTTTGATTTGTGCGAAGAAGTCAACATATTTTTTACACTGATAATTTTACGGGCAATTGAAGTGACCTGTTACAAATAACCAATGATTTACAGTGTGTAAAAAATGTTTAGCTCGAATTTCTCAATTTAAAACAACTAACAAAGTAACAAGCCATGTGATGATGTTGTATGATTTGGACAATGTAAGAAGTATGAACCCTTTAAAATGGGGCTGAGTTTGTATTTTAGATAGAATAGGAAGAAGCACAAGATAAGATGATATTATTTCTGTGGTGAGGAAAAAACCAGGAAATAGAGGAACCACATACTACACAAGAATATAACAATGATCCCGAATGAATCTATTTGACTGCGATTCGCCGTAATGTCTAATATTTAAATGCATTTTAAAACCTGTGTCAAAGTTATAACATTATCAGCTCGGGCTTGATGAATATCTCTTAAATTAGAAGATAAAGTAGTAACTTGGATTTGCAAATGCTAAAATATTAAACTGTAGTATCAATCTCTCATCATAACTTTCAAATGAAGGTAGCATCTTTTTTCCAAGAAATCACTAGTCTAGTAATTCATCAACAGAAACAGAGGAGCGGAGTTGAGTTATTGAAAATTATGTCACTATAACTAGACAAGAATACTAAAGAGGGAATTAATATGTTACAGAGTATGTCGTTGTCATTCAGATGGACAAATTTCATCCATTCCCAATCAAGGAATAAGGAAAATATTTACAAGTTTAAAATATGCCTATTGTACAAAAATTCCAACACTAGTCTAAGTCAGTCTCTTGCAGTTGTAGATTTATAGTCCACTGAAGTGGGAAGTAATATGCAAGAAAACATCTTCAGTGCAAGGAATTGTGAGACCACCCATTAGATGATCATATCCGAATTCTTCCTCTGCTTGACTCAACAAGTCTTGAAATGAAGTTTGGTTCAAGTATGACATGGGGATCACAAACCGCTTCATTTCTTCTCCAACATACACGGCAAGATAGCCCTTTGGTATATTCATTACCTTTGATGATGTTCGGCTTCTGCTTAATGAAGCACATCTAATAACTGCAGGTAAATGAAATCCCATTTCAAATGTTTCAAAGAACAAGTAAAGCTCTCAAATATAAGAAAAGTATAACTAGCTTTTGATGGTTGAGTATGTGAATGAGTTATGATAGTTGTGAAGGAAGGTAGTGTATTTATAGTCTCAAGAGTTTCTTGGAATCTATTTTGTTGAGAAGTGGTTGTTAAATGATGGGGTCCATGAGTTGAGAGATCACATGAAATCTCCTTTTGACATCTCTCTATCAAGTACCAGTAAGTTGAATAAGAGTGCATATATACACCACACCTTTTGTAGACCACTCACTTGGATGTCAAATGAGATAGGAAGATTCAAATTAGTGCTTAACTTATGGCCACTCAAGTATTTGTAGTCATGTGCCATGTTCTCTTCATATTGGTAACACGGCTCAAAGTTGACATATAGCATCAAAAATCACCTAAGAGATGACTTTAAGCCAATTAGTGGCTACAAATCATATATATGTTTGGAGGCAACAATGGAACCTGTATCAAGGGATTGGTCAGTAGTTATCCTGACCAAAAGATAGTAGTACAGATTTGAATCCACAAGTAGCAGAAAACTGTTTCATTTTCAATGTCAGCAGTTCTATATATTTCATTTTCAATAATTGCAGTCTTCCGAAGGAAAGTTTAGCAACAATGCCCTACCAAGATGTTCTATTATAAGGTTGTTTGATGAATATAATAATAGTATGTTAGCAGAACTTTAACCTATTTTAAAATGTTGAGCAATTAATTCAAGGGAAACTAGTAGAGTTGTATTTATGATTCATTATATCTTTTCTTGTTTGTTAGTGAGAAGGACTAACACTAGTATGTTTTTTCTAACTCAAAACGAAACTATTTTCAATGTAAGATTAATATATTTCTAATTTTGACTGTTTTATAACAACATGGATTAATATAAGCCCTCTAAAACCCTCCCAAAGTTTTCCGTTCCTTCCACACACCATCCTTCCTTTTTTTTCAAAACCCTCTTCTCTCCTCCTAAACTCTTAAACAGAAACTTAAGTCAAAACCCTCTTCTCTCCTCCTAAACTCTTAAACAGAAACTTAAGAAACTCAAAACCCTCTTCTCTCCTTGATAGAAGGAATAGAAAGCATAGAAGAACTTTTCATTTCTGTTATAGTTTGCAAAAGTTAGTTACAGAAGATGCACACAGTTGCATTTATAGGGCAACTTGTGTGACCTGCTACAGAAGGTAAGCTAGCACACAAGACTTGACAAATGTCAGTCACAAACAAAACTTAAAACAGAACTAATGCTTCTATCTGAGAAGGTCAGCAGTGGCCTGAGCTAGACTCCTGTATTCTGCTTCTGTGCTGGACCTAGCAACCACAGGTTGCTTCTTGGACCACCAGGATACTAAATTTCCTCCAAAGTAGATGGCTGCACCAGATGTACTGCGCCTATCATCAGGGTCTGAAGCCCAATCAGCATCACAGAAAACTTGAAGGGAAGGAACTTCAGATGAAACATGAGGGGAGAGATGAAGACCATACTGAATAGTGCCCTTGAGATATCTGAGAATCCTTTTGACAGCAACCCAGTGCGTTTCCAGAGGGTGAGACATGAACTGGCAAACTTTATTGACAGCATAGGCAATGTCAGGTCTTGTAATGGTTGCATATTGGAGAGCGCCAACCACAGACCTGTACATGTATGGATCAGTCAGAGCAGGGGAGCCAAGTTTAATTAGCTTGCAGGAGGACTACATAGGAGTGGCAACAGGGGCAGAATCAGCCATGTGAGTTATGTGCAATAAATCTCTAACATACTTAGATTGAGTGAGGAGTAGGGATCCCTGAGCAGCAGGTTTTACTTCAATCCCAAGAAAATAATCCAAATCTCCCAGGTGTTTGAGAGAAAAATCAGAATTGAGTTTATGAACAATAGACTGAAGCAGGGTAGTATTATTGCTGGTGATGATAATGTCATCCACATACACAAGTAAATAAACAGTGTTACTGTTGTACCCTAAAATTTGCCCTCGCATTTTTCCCCAAGAAATCACAACTTCAGGCTTTTCCTGATTTTTCAGATTGGCTCAAGAATCGGTCAAACAGACTTTTCTCGTCAGTCAGACAAAATTAGGGTTTTCATTGATTTTCATGGCTCTGGAACAATTCAAGCAGTTTGTTTAGGGTTTGGTTGATTTTGGCTCAACTTTGATCAGGTGAACGTTTCTTTGACATTTGGCCAGGAATTAGGGTTTTTTATGCGCGGTTCCTCAGAAAGGTTTAACTCTACAGTGTTTTTCAAGATATGCTGAGATGTGGATTGAAACATTTGGATTGAGTTCGCATTGTGTGATTAAATCAGTGAAAGGATACATTCGGATTGAATTTGCAGTGTTTGGTAAAAATCAGTAAAAAGGAAAATACGTCTGGGCAATTGTTGTGATTGACTGTTGTTTTGCTTTGGATGTTGGAAGCGCCAAGTTTATTAATTGATCAACGCTGAAACAATGTTTAGTTAATTATTTATTATTCTAAAGATTAAATAGTTGGAATTTATTTTCAATTATTTTAATTTAAAGAGCTATAAATAATAAATAAACAATTGAAAGGAAGGAAAGGAATTAACTGATAAGAAAATGGATTTTTATTCATCTTTTAATTTATCGTTACAATTATTGTTTGAATACGGTATTTATTTACAATGTATTCATAATAATAAATATTTACAAGTGATTAAATTTGGAATAAAACTATCCTATTTTTTTTCTAAGTTTCCTAATCTTCATTCTTCTATCCAATGCTCCCTCTGCTTCATTTGATTTTATCTGCAAAGAATAAGAAACAAAAGAAAAAGTCAAATGCAGATAAATAATTAAAAAGCAGACAATTAATTTGGGCTCATCATTAAAGGCAACTGACTGGAATCAGTTAGCCCTCTCTGCAAATCACGGGATTTCTCCCGGTTCACAAAGAGGGATGAATATTGCTTGCTAATCATGAATGCACAAAGTTGAAATTCACAAGTCAAAATTGTCAAACTACTGCATAGTTCAAAACAAACAGAATGGCCTAACTAAAGTCACAAACTATCCAAAAAGCTGTCCAAAGGATGTCAAGATACAAAAGTACAAGATACTGTCACAAGGAAGCAAAATACTGTCAAAAGAAGATATGGAAAGATATCAAGAAGACATAAAGTATGCAGAGTAAACATGTAATGCAAGCAAGCTTTTCATTTCATCATTTCCCAAGCAACTGCCCTTTCAGAAAAGTACACATAACATATTTTAATGTTTTGAATGGTACTGGAGAGAGAAAAGAAGAGGGAAAAGAACAGGCTTACTGGCTTTTAGGCTTGAGAAAGAGAAATATAAAACAGACTGCTAACACAGTCAGAAAGGGGGGGATGTCAAAAGGGAGATAACAAACCACAACATAACCTGCATACAGCCTCTAGCTCAAAGCGATGCCAAAACTGAAGCAAACATCAGGCCCAAAACCAACAAGCTAAAAACCTGTCAAAAGCTCATTACCAGCCTTACCATTCAAAGCCTGAAGCAACAATTCAACAGCATATCAGGGCCATCATACAAGCATACTAAAGCATACATACAAGCCAACAAGAAGAAGAGACAGGAATGTCAACAGACAAGTATCCAAAGGCAACACAAAGGCCTCAGAGAGTTCTCATCATAGGCAAGTATTAAAGGCAACTAGGGTCAACGAGAAGAAGGTGATAAAGAAGCAAACAGAAGCAGGAGTAAGAGGCAGACAGAGAAGAAGAAAATATATCATCAAGAGGTTCTCAGGCCATAATCATCATCAAACCCTAATACAAGCAAAGAATACACAAACCAGGAAGCAGAAGCTTCATCATCATCATCCCCTTGCAGTCCAAAGCCAGTGTCATCGCGTCCTCCACCCTTGGCCGTCCACAGCGCCTTCCAATCCGTCTCATCATCCCCTTCCAAAGGTATAAACTTTTTTCTTTGTTTTCCAACATCTTGCACAAACATCAAAACAATGTAATCAAGAACCAGAAATAAGCAACAACATGTAAAGGCATAAAACATTAGAACGAAAATCAAACCTCGTAACCATCGCTTGGGGTAACCTTGTGGAAGGAGGAGAAACAGAGTTGGCGTTGGGTGGCCGTGTATGGTTAGAAGTAACTCAGTAGCCATGGAGAGGATGACAAACGGAGAAGACGAAGCAAGCGCGCCGCTCTCAGCAAACCCTAAGTTTTTCCCAATTGAAACAATCACTCACGACCCTAAACGAAAACATTGTAAGACAATTGGGCCTTGCCCACCTCTGAAGCACTGAAGCCCAAGCAAATTTCCAATTCATACCCCCCCTGTTCTATTCATTTTTCTCTATGAATTGCATTTGGGCCTCAAACCTTAAAGCCCATTTCTGATTTCTTTCAAACTATTTTTAACTATCATATCCTTTTTCTATATACAAATTAACATGACTTTTTTTAATATAATTATAATTTTAAACACAATATATTTTTCCTCTAACTTAAAATATTTTCTTTCAATTAAAAAACTTTTGTATAAATATATGTATTAAATACTAATTACTAATATATAAGAAATAAAACTTAAAATATTTTTATTTCGTACATTAATACCTTAATACATAAAATACATAAAAATACATTATTTAAAACACTTTTTTTATTTTATTAAAACTTATTTTGATTTCTCTTTAAGTTAATACAATTTCTTTTCTTAGAAATATTTGTACATAATCAATTAAAATACATTTTTTTAATATACATAATTTAATTAAAATTTAAAACATTTAATTAAAATATTCTTTTTGTACATATTAAAGAAAAATACAAGATTATAAAGATTAAATAAATAAACATCTAATTCTTTTCATTTAAGTTAACAATACTTAATCTTCACATTAAAATTCACATTTTCTTAACTTGTAAATAATTCTCATATACGTACACGTACACCTACACAATACACTTTACATTTGACAATATACATTTGCTATTCTTATACTTTACATTACATT